ATGTTATTTACAGATTATGACAATTTTTTGTACCATACTGTAAGTCCATTGTTTTCATTCTTGTTTCTTAGTACGGTGAACTAAGAGGGGCACAGTTGATCTATAAGTTATTTGGCATGAGTTTTGCTTTTAATATATATTTAGGGTCTTTCAAAAGTATAAAGACCCAGCTATCATGAAAAGACTAAATTCGATACTTTAAGAATTTTGTGAAATAAGGGAGACAACTCGTCTAGTCTTATGAGAAATAAATATCGCGGGAAAATCTGAGGCACTGGATGCTTGACACGATGACTTCAGGCATCGATAAACAAAAGAGGGTGAAAGTAAAATCTTTACATTCGGAGTGAAAAGATTGATAAAAGAATAACCAGGTAATACTTTGATTGTTTTATTTTGGGTTTTATATGTTTATTTATCAATTCTTATTTTATTACAAGTCTTTGTAAGTGGAGAAATCGTCAGATTTAATACTTTGAATATGTTTGAAAACTTTTCATTAATCGGGATCAATGAAGCGCTTATTGAAACGAAAAGTTTTAATTATAGATGGTATGTTAGTAGCACTGAAGTTATTTTCAGTTATTAACTTTAAAATATAATTGGATGTACATATGTTTTGACCAAAGTAATATGTTAATAAGTTACTGTAATATACATATAAATTATGACTGTTAATAGTAAAAATTGAAATTATATAATTTGAACAATTTATCTTTATTACAAATAATTAGGTCTAATACAACAATTATTTCTTTCATAATAAATTGTAATGTCGATGTTACAGTTTTTTAGTAAGTATTTGCATAATTAAATTGGTGCATTGCTATTGGACAAAATTTTTTTATAAAAAATAAGTTAATAACTGTTAACAGGAATATTATTGTGTGCTAGTTAGTCAGTTGATATCAGGTCCTGATATAGTTCTATAGATATGACGTTTATAGTCCTAAAGACGTTTCTTGGAGACAGACCATCATGAACTATAAAAGGCCTGTAACATCTAATATATTGGACAACACCCATAGTGCCAGACAGACTTGGATATTTTAACAAGCCCTTGGACTGACTATCTAGAGGCTTAATATTCTTTAAACTCCCCTCATCCAAACCATAGGTAATCGGCGCGTTGATTGGTCACTACCCCCGCACCCCCCTCACCCCCACACCCACTCTACAGCCCTCCTACCTCTCAAAAACCATGTAAAATACAGTATTTTTCATTTTGAAACATGTTTTAATATTTGGTTTATGCTTTTAATTCAATAACCTTCATTTCCTACAAAAAATAAAAAATTGATACATATATATTTAGTAAAGGTATGCAACTCGCTGCTTCAATTTTCAGCACTCATCTTAATATAAACTCCATAACTTCAAACATTTTTTCACCAATTTTCAATATTTTGGTACCAAATGTAGGGAATTGATTACTCTTAAAGGAATTAAAGTTGTCATTACAATCATTTCAAGTTATAAGAAGATATGTAATCTCGAAGTCACCGCAAGTGTAACTCGACAGTGATCTGACCGCTGGGTTTTCTTCAAAATTACCCGACTAAACGGCAGTTTATTCGAAATGAATGCATATTTCATTGTATTGCGCATATAAATATGATCAAATTATATTATTATTTGTAATAACTGTTCAATCAAAAACATCTTATAAATCTATAACAAACCTTTTTTCCTATATGTTAAATTCCAAATTATAATGCAAGTAATAGTTCTACAGAGTGCTCTCCCTTCATTTTTTGTACGGAGTATTTTCATTGGTCTAAGGTTTTCATACGACCAATGAAAATACTCCATACGAATGCTTCCGTTTATACATGTGTACTTTCATTTTGGATTGGAGAATTTGGCATATCGGAAAAAAAGGTTTGTTATAGTTTTATAAGCTGTTTTGATTGAACAGTTATTACAAATAATAATATATAATTTGATCATATTTATATGCGCAATACAATGAAATATGCATTTCATTTCGAATAAACTGCCGTTTAGTCGGGTAATTTTGAAGAAAAACCCAGCGGTCAGATCACTGTCGAGTTACACTTGCCGTGACTTCGAGATTACATATCTTCTTATAACTTGAAATGATTGTAATGACAACTTTAATTCCTTTAAGAGTAATCAATTCCCTACCATTTGGTACCAAAATATTGAAAATTGGTGAAAAAATGTTGAAGTTATAATGGAGTTCATATTAAGATGAGTGCTGAAAATTGAGCAGCGAGTTGCATACCTTTACTAAATATATATGTATCAATTTTTTATTTTTTGTAGGAAATGAAGGTTATTGAATTAAAAGCATAAACCAAATATTAAAACATGTTTCAAATGAAAAATACTGTATTTTACATGGTTTTGAGAGGTAGGAGGGCTGTAGAGTGGGTGTGGGGGGGAGGGGGGTGCGGGGGTAGTGACCAATCAACGCGCCGATTACCTATGATCCAAACGCCTGTCGGTCCGGACATAATCACACATGCCTACTTAAGGCTATGTTACGGTTACCAAATTAACGCCAAATAGAGGAAGAGACTGAGTGGTGTAATGTATGGGTAGAGCATTGGATTCCTAATCCTGAAGTTTTGGGTTTAAATCCTACTTTTGATAGGATTATCTTTTGACTTCCATGGAATCCACATTGGTGCGATTACTGGTTATGACACTCAGAAGGCAGTTAACTAGCTTGATTTTAAGTGCCATACATTCATAATTGGGAATTAATTGTTGGATTGTAACAGGTAAATGCAGGTGAAATCTTAACCCCTGTATTGCCCTGTCAGTGTTTTGACAGGAAGAAGCCCATTTCCCCACTTTTAGTATCACCCAAATTGCCCTTTTAGAGTAGGTGTTTCTTAGGTATATATACTGCAGCTAAATACATTCTATTGCAAATTTTTATTCTAAATTATTTCATGAATTCTAAAGTTCATTTAATCAAAATACAAAAATGAAGAATAACCCAAAATATTTTTTAATGAAATTTTGCAGCAGTACAGAAAAAAAATCCACTTAAAATCAGCATCAAGTTCTTTGTTAATTTTGTTATGTTTTTAAGTACTAACTTACTTTCTATGCATACCAATTAAAATAGGGAGAGTCACTTATCACAGAGCTTTTGGGACTTATACAGTTAACTGTTTAGCAGACCCCTAAGATATTAAACAATATGAGCAGGCTTTTTATTATTGAATAGAAAATTCAGGGCTTCCATTAAGTCCCAAATTTTTTAAGTCAGAAACTGCAAAATCTCTAACATTGGAAGTCATAATATGTAGGTAAAGAAGGAAAAGAGTTATATTTTTGAAGCCATAATCAAGGAGTAATTGTCTCCCAAACTCTCACAAACGGAAGCCCTAGAAACTTCAAAATATTATTATTATTTTAGTAAATGGTAAAAGAATGAAAAAATAGGCACTTTAAACATAATTTATCCAGGTGTTACAGGGCATTTCAACCCTATTATCTCAAGATGTCGATATAACATGAAGGCAACAGTCCAAAATAAACTATTTTTATTCCCAACTTCCAAAAGAAAAAAAAACTTGTTTCAATATCTGAGAAAATTTGAAGTTTGAAAATTAGATTTTAAGCTTGTTTCTTGAAAGGAGTGAAAAGCTATATTATGACATTACAAAGTTTTTTTTTTTTTAAATTTTTAAATCCCCCCCCCCTAAAAAAAACAGCTTAAATTTTCCCAATTTTAAGCCAGCCCTGTGTCTCTTTCTCCAAATAACTGGAAAAGACCATGAATTAGTGTATTTTGAGGGATATTTTTGACAATCTTTGTTAGTAGATCTACTGGATATAAATAATGAAAAAAGAAAAATCCACACCAACATTTCATAAAATACTGCTATTAAAAAACCAATTAGAAAAAAGTCACCTCAAATTCACATTTAAATTAATTTGTATGTGTAAATTTTTATTTGTTAAATACACGTAGTTCAGCACATTTTGTTAAATACAAGTTGTCCCTCGACAAAGCTTTTTATCTGAACATTTAAAATAGGAAGTAGAGTTAAATGTGAAGCATGTAGCTTTTGAAGCTCTGCCTTCTTTGATAAGGGTCATTAAATTCCGAGTTCAAAGGTCAAATTTTCAGCATGCGTTCAGTGAGAGATAAGAAAAGATCTCAAACAATAATATGTGCAGTTTAATGTTTTGTAGATATTTACAGTTGAGGAAAAAAGATAATATATTGAATAATCAAGGTGCATGGACTGTTTAAAGCTAGCAAATCATAGCCAATTAAAATTAGGATTTTGCGGAAAGACATGTTTAACAAACAGTGAAGGAATGTGCTAGATAATTTTGTTCAAGAAAAAAAAACAGGTGGATAAATTATAATTGGTGAAAGCTGGTAGATGTTACATATGAAAAATGCTTTATTATGCATCTTCAAAGTGGAATTTTAAAGATGTTAGGCAATATTAACTCTTCAATTTAAGAAGAAAGGAGTTAAATTTAAGCACATTGTGATTGTGAATACATGTACATGATGATGTACAAATTAAGTATAAGGGGTGAGATGTTTTCTGAGTAATTTGTATTTATTGATGAAATATTTTTATAATGAATTTTTGAAAGGTGAATATAGTAGTAATACATTTGTATCTATTGAAGGTAGCAGTTTTTCTCTTCAATAATTAGGATAAAAAAATGTTGAAAAGGTAGTATTCATGCATTACATTTTTTTATGCTTTATTTAGGTACATGTAAATTGGAAAAATGAAGTGAAAAAGTACAGAAGACAAGTGGGGAAAAAGCTTTTAAACTGGAACTGGGAAAAAATTTTTACAGTGGGACCAAAAGTTGGGAAAGTTGGAAAATTTGTGTTTAAAAATCTGGAATTAAAATTTAAACCCTGTTAAAAGGATTTTTAATTTTTTCATTTATATTACTTTTAAAATTTAAAGTTGATTAAAAAATGTTATTTTTAAATTATTGGGTTTTTATAAAAAAATTATTGAATTTAAATGCCTGGCTAGTTAAATACAAATATATACATTTTATGTAAACACATTTATTTTTGAGATAGCCTGATTTAAGTTATATCAATATTTTATGCAATGAACATTTGAAATGTGTGGCTGTTAAATAAATTTATTACGTAATATGTACAAAAGAAATTCATGGAATAATTCTTTCACAGATGAGTTAGTTCTATAAATAGTAGTTCTATAATTAGATTCAGATACATTTACGGATATTAAAGAAATAATGACTACACGGCTCAAACTTTCAACATGGCAGTGTCTAATGGCTACCCGTATCCCGGCTTCACAAATCCGTATGTACGTGGGAAGTTACCGTCAGTGAAGGGTCGTAATAGTCGTAAAATGTGCGCAGGACGTATATTCATCTTTCTGATACTGGGTGTGATCCTCATTGTGCTCGGCCTCGTGTCTCTAGGACTGTACCTGAACGTGAATGGATCGACCAGTTCCAACCAGTACACCGAGATCATGCCGTTATACATTACGTCCGGTTTTGTGAGTATATTTTAAGGTTTATATTATTCTTTATTAAAAATTTTTGTTCGGAAGCTTAGTGGCAGTTAACCATCATGCCTTTGCAACAGGTTTTAAGTTGTGCTCGGCAGCACGTTCTTACAGTCTGACTCGACTTTATACTGTTACATGTACCTACTTTACACGGCAAGTCTAATTTAACAAATTAAGCAGTTGGTAAAGTATGAAGAATGTTGACTTGTTACTTACTTTGGTATTCTCCAGCAGTTTTAAATTCATTTCACGTATGAGGTCCTGCACATTTACACACACTAAGACTCACCCCTCCCCAGACTCACCACCCTCTTACGCTGGTGAAAAGTATTAGAAGGGGACTTTCACTTTTGGATTTTATGTTAGTTTATAGTGTTATGGTTTTAATTGAAACTCACAATTTTCAAAAGTCACAATGCAACTGTCACAACTTTCATGGCACAGGGCTCTCTTTTCTGTTTTGGTGAACTAATACCTGAATCTGTAGGAGGCAGAATTTGCACCTTCTTTCTTCTTTTCCTACTAACTATTAAAGGGAGATAATCAGATCCAGAGCCCGCGGGCATATTGAATTCTTTCATTTCAAGAAGCTACCCAAATACACTAAGGGTAATTTTAAACACTTGATCTAAATAGAGGACAAAAGGGTATCAAAGGCCATCTTCATCCTACACTTAAAAAAGTTCACTTTGGGTTATTATCACCACTTGAGTGTAGTTATCTTTCCATTGTACTCAATCTTTTTAGATATAGAAAAAAATCAAGTGTTATAAAATAAGATGATTAATTAAGATTATCCAAACCTCCTTACAAACATCTGAGTCACAACAAATTAAACGTGATATTATCATATTCATGGAACCACTTGCCCCTCACCGCTGTGGGTTCGAATCCGACTTTTGACTTTGGATTCTTTCATGTCAGGAAGCTATCCAGCTAGCGTACGGAACGTCGGTGGTTCTACTCAGGTTGCTCATTCAATGCCTGAAATAATGCACGGAGGGGCACCTGAGGGGTCTTCCTCCACCAGTAAAGCTGGAACGTCGCAAATGACCTATACTGTGTCGGTGTGACGTAAAAACGTAAAAACAAACAAACAAAAACAAATCATTATTCATGGCATTAAGAATATTTTGCCTTACAAGTACATGCACATGTATCCATATGAATTTTTAATTCTTCAATGAAAACAAAAAACTTAGGCTTTTATATAAAAAAAATCAATTTGAAAAGACTTTACTGAGGATTTTCGGACATTTATTTTTTGGTTGGGGTTTTAAGTCGCACCAAACATAGAACTAGCATAGGTCAAATGGTGACGTTCCAGCTTTAATGTGGTTAAGGAAGAAACCTCCGGTGCCTCTCCCCTGCAATTATTTCAGGCACGAAAGGGCACTCGAGCAAAACCACCGACCATTAAATAATAGCCAATCTTTTGAAATATATTACTAATTCAACACAACTCAACATCGCATTATCAGCACTAATATAAACAAATAAACATTTATTGCATCTGTATAGATGAAGTACTATAAATAAGGAAGTGTTTCATTTTTCTCTCATTTAATACTTCTATTATATAACTCCTGTTTTTCTATTTGTCAGTGATACACAATTGCGTGGGAACATTTTCTTTTTTTCAATCTATTTATATATAAATTCTAACATAGATGATATTTCAATTAACATTTAAATTATAAATATAGATTTAGATAATTATATGAGTCGTTTATTAAAGTTATATTTTAAGTTTGTTCACATGTCTTGAAGTAAAGTAAGGTCAAAATGTTGAGTGTGGGTGGGTCATTACAAGAATAAAAATAGAATTATAAAACAAGCTAATTGTTTATAGTCATGAAGTTAAGTGAGGTCACTATGTTAAGGATGTGGGGGTCAATGCAAGAAAAATAATTAAAAAATTTAGAATTTTAAAATAAGCTTGAGAAAAATGAACAAAGAACACACCAGTGTCACCGCATTTCAGATTACCAGACCCCTTCTCAGTGGCAAATATAATTATTTTTTCCAAATGTTTTAACAAAAATGCCAAATCAAACTAAAATTTCGTATAACAAAACTGACATGTTTGCTGGAGGTCAAACACATGTCATTGTCAAATTTATGCTTTGAATGATATTTGCATATTTCAAAATACTATGCCAAAATTAAGAGCATGAAGGGGGTTTCAAAGGTACCAAATATTTTTCCCAATTTAACAAGCAATTTTACCACGTAAAATTTCCCAAACTAGGCAAGGTACTTTTATCCCAAAACGGCTAGGAAAAATCCTGGAACAAAAACAAAATAAATTTGAAATGGGGATACAAAAGGTACCAAATGTTTTCTCAATTAAGCAATTGTACAGTGCAAAATTTCCAAAAATGCGCAATGTACTTTTATCCCAAAGTGGCTAGGAAAAGGCCTGAATTTCAACAAAAACAAAATTACACAATAACATTTGAAATGGGGATACAAAAGGTATCAGATATTTTTATGCCACCGCAGCATCTGCGATGCGGTGGCATATAGCGATTCACCTGTGTGTATGTGTGTGTGTGTGTTTGTTTGCGTGTGTGTGTGTGTGTTATATAGATTATATAGTGAAATTAAAAAATCTTCTTGTGAAAAACCACTAGTCCAATTTCAACCAAACTTGGCAGGATTGATCCTTGGGTGAAGGGGTTTCAAAGTTGTTCAAAGAATTTCATTCCATGCAGAAATCTGGTTGCCATGGCAACCAAAAGGAATTAAAAGAATAAATTTAAAAAATCTTCTTGTAAAGATCCAAAAGGCCTAGAGCTTAGATATTTTGCATAAGGCATTGTCTGGTAGACCTCTACCAAGATTGTTCAAATTATAGCCCTGGGGTCAAAATTGGCCCCGCCCCGGGGGTCATTGATTTTCACTATATGTACATATAGTAAAAACTTAAAATACCTTCTTGTAAAGACTGAAAAGGTCTAGAGCTTAGATATTTTGCATAAGGCATTGTCTGGTAGACCTCTACCAAGATTGTTCAAATTATAGCCCTGGGGTCAAAATTGGCCCGGCCCCGGGGGTCATTGATTTTCACTATATGTACATATAGTAAAAACTTAAAATACCTTCTTGTAAAGACCCAAAAGGCCTAGAGCTTAGATATTTTGCATAAGGCATTGTCTGGTAGACCTCTACCAAGATTGTTCAAATTATAGCCCTAGGGTCAAAATTGCCCCTGCCCCGGGGGTCATTGATTTTCACTATATGTACATATAGTAAAAACTTAGAATACCTTCTTGTAAAGACCCAAAAGGCCTAGAGCTTAGATATTTTGCATAAGGCATTGTCTGGTAGACCCTTACCAAGATTGTTCAAATTATAGCCCTGGGGTCAAAATCGGCCCCGCCCCGAGTGTCATTGATTTTCACTATATGTACATATAGTAAAAACTTAAAATACCTTCTTGTAAAGACCCAAAAGGCCTAGAGCTTAGATATTTTGCATAAGGCATTGTCTGGTAGACCCTTACCAAGATTGTTCAAATTATAGCCCTGGGGTCAAAATCGGCCCCGCCCGGGGGGTCATTGGTTTTCCTTATATGTATATAGTAAAAACTTTAAAAAAAATTCTTCTAGCAATTGACAAATGCTAGAGGTTAGATATTTTGCATGAAACATTGTGAAGTGAACTTCTAGCAATATTGTTTTTGAATTATAGCCCTGGTGTTAAAATTGCCCCCGTCCCAGGGGTCATTGATTTTAAATATATATATAGTAAAAAATCTTATTGTTTGAAGGTACAAGGCTTAGAGCTTTAATATTTGTTAAATGATATCATCTATAGGAACTCTACCAAAGTTGTTCAAATTTTGCCTCTAGTGTCAAAATTAGCCCCGCCCCGGGGGCCATAGGTTTTCCTTATATGTATAAAGTAAAAACTTAAAAAATCATCTTCTTTAAATTTACAAAGATTAGAGTTAAGATATTTTGCATGAAACATTATGTAGTGAACCTCTAGCAAGATTGTACAAATTATAGCCCTGGGGTCAAAATTGGCCCCACCCCCAGGGGTCATTGATTTTCACTATGTACACATAGTAAAAAAATAAAAAATATTTTTGTCTGAAGGAACAAGGGATAGAGCTTTGATGTTTGCTATATAATATCATCTATAGGTCCTCTACTAAAGTTGTTCAAATTTTTCCCCTGGTGTCAAAATTGGCCCTGCCCGGGGGCAGTGATTCTCATTATGTACACATAGTAAAAACAGAAAATAAAACAAATGTTTTCTGAATGGGAGAAAGCTACAGCTTAGATATTTGACTTGAAATGTTGTTTGGTGGACCTGTATCAAGATGTACCTAGATTTTGTTGATGTGACCTACTTTCTTGTCCTTTGATGTACAGCTATGACATTTGAACCCTGTGCACAGATTAAGATGTAAAGTGAACTTTGATTTCAGCTGACCTAGATTTTGACAATTTTCTTACTGTGTTGTCCTTTTGATGTAGTCATGAAATTAAGGCTATGTGAAATATGACCTTCACCACCAAATTCACTAGACTCGAGTGCATTGATATATTTCTACTCTGATCTTTTATTGAGTTAACATTAGATTTAACCACTAATCTGATAATAAGAATAAGATAGGTCAGGGATCTATGCTTTATGACAATCTTTAAAATTGTAAAGAAACAAAAAAAAATCTGTTCCTACACTACTATTCAGTGCTGTATTAATGCGGTGGCATAGCATTTTTCTCAAATGCAATCTTGTTCCCAATTAAAACTGGTCAAGGTACCCCAATTAAAACTGGTCAAGGTACCCCAATTAAAACTGGTCAAGGTACCCCAATTAAAACTGGTCAAGGTATCCCAATTAAAACTGGTCAAGGTACCCCAATTAAAACTGGTCAAGGTACCCAAATTAAAACTAAAGACAAGGTACTTTTTCCCAAAACTATTAGGAAAAGGCCTGAAGTTCAACAAAAAACAATATAAAAATTGAAA